AAATTCTCTGTATCCCAGTAAACTTTTCAGTGGGGACCCTTGACTACATAAATATTTTGATCATTCAAAGTATAATAAAATTTAGGGGCCATCTGAGGCATAATGACTTACTGGTGAAGAGTTAGCAAAATGAATAAAGTGGCATTTGTATATGTCCCATCAGTAATACATGTGTCCAAGTAAGATCTCTTCCTTTTCTAGTCCAGGAATGGACTCTATTTTCTTTATGGTCAACTACACAGTTTCTAGCTAATTTCAGATATTCCCTAAAAGAAAGGTAGCGATATTATTATTTCTCACACAGTGATATTGATCAGTGTGACACTGTTTCTTGGAGACTGTTTCTATTGAAACACATACATCTCCTTGCCTGTCCAGTCTCTCACATCATTTACTTCATGTTGGTTTCATACTCTTGATGCCACATTATTCAGCCTCTCACCAGTGACCATTGGTTTCCAACGATGCGCGTAAGGCTTTTACTGTGCTTTGAGGATGGTGACCACAGATGCTAGATAACCCATAGTAAGCAGGGGAATGTGAACCGTAATCAAATTTCTGCTCATGTTAAATTTACCATTTGGAAACATTGCGTACTAAAGAAGACTCGGGAAATGAAATGACTAAATGTTTGTGTGGTGTTCCAGTGGGAATAAGATTATTCAGATTCCTTTTCTGAGAAGACTCACCCTCTTCCTTGAGGAATGTCACGTTTCCCACCCCTTCTAATAAACTTAGTACTGAGACTATGAAAACAAACAAACAAAAAGAACAAATTTGATTAGTGTACTGTTTTTGAGAGGTTTGCATAGATATTAATTTTTTTTTCGGGTTAACAATCAATATTATTGCTGGTGCGGTGGCACACTCCTGTTATCCCAGCAGCTCCGGCGACCTGAGGCAGGATGACTGCCAGTCTCAGTAAAAGTGAGGAACTAAGCAAATCAGTGAGATCCTGTCTTCAAATAAAACACAAAACAGGGCTGGGGATGTGGCTCAGCGGTCGAATGACCCCGAGTTCAATTCTCAGTACCCACCCCTCAAAAAAATCTATATTATTTTATTATAAAGAAGTTGATGAGGGGCTAGGGCTGGGGCTTAGTGGTAATGCTCTTGCCTGGCATGTGTGAGGCACTGGGTTTGAATCTTAGCACCATGTATAAATAAATAAAATAAAGATCTATCGACAACTAAAAAAAAAAAAAAAAAAGAAGAAGTTGATGAGAGCTGGGCATGTAGTTCAGTGGTAGAGCACTTGAGCAGCATGAGCAAATTCTGGGTTTAGTCCAAAACACAAGAAATAGGAAGGAAGGAAGGAAGGAAGGAAGGAAGAAAGGAAGGAAGGTTGGTTTGATAAATACGAGTTAAAATTTTAAAAAAATGTTAGTATGTTCCTGTCTTTATGAGTCTTTCTTCCTTCCTTCCTTCTTCCTTCTTCTTTTCTCTCTTTCTCTCTCCCTCTGCCTGCCTGCCCCCTCCCTTCTCTCTTTTTTTCCCCCTGCAATCATTTTCTTTCAAAAATGTGTTTAAGCTGGGCACTGTGGTGCATACCTATAATCCCAGTGGCTGGGGACACCCAGGCAGGAGGATTGTAAATCTGAGGCCAGCCTCAGCAACTTAGTGAGACCATGTCTCAAAAATAAAAATAAACATAAAAATAAAATAAAAGGAACTGGGGATATGGCTCTGTGATTATGTAATCCTGAGTTCAATCCCTGGTACCAAAAAAAAAAAAGTGTTTGACACTTTTGATTTAATACCTTAATACCTTCTTTATGAGTGAGATGGATAAGGACAGATAAGTAAAAAAAGAATGTGAACTTAAAAAGAAACATTTCTACATATATTATCAACTTTCTTTCCAGAGAGTTTTTCACTCATTTTATGAATAGTAAATGATATCTGGATGCCATGAGGATTCAAGAACAAAAAAGAGTGAGACAATTAAATCTGAAAAAAAAATAGTAGAGAAATTTGTATTTGTAATGTGAAAAGAGAATGTGAGAAATGTTCCAACCTCAGAGACACAGAAACTTGGAGCAACGTTGTATGTTAGATTTGAAGACAATTTTTGTATTTCCATGCTTATGAATGCCATTAATTTCTTTCCACTTCTACATGCAAACATTTGTTTAGCATCTCTATCAAATGGAAATATTAGCATATATGATTTCTAGTAAAATATATGTGTGTGTGTGTATGTGTGTGTGTACCTATTTGCCTGTTTCCCCTTTGGAGTTATAAAGGTACAGATACTGCTGCTTCTACATAATTTGAAAGGTGGGGATCATTTTACCCATCTTCTCTGCATAAGTACAACATGCTATTAATTTCATGTGTTATGGCTCCTCTTCTTGATTGACTTCCTATTCTCTAGTTTAAAAGTCATTATGCTTCATTTGTGACTACTTTATGAAGATATGGAGCAAGCAATTACTTTTTGAGAGCACAGGATGAGCTGACTTTAGTCTTTGTATGAGGAACTTGGAAGATCTATAACCAGACTCTCTATTAACTTTAAATTAAATATTTTCTTGGCTTTTAGAATTTATAAAACGAAAATCTCATATCTTTGATGATGAAGATGGAGCAACTTCACCATCTGCCATTTGTGTTCTATGCAATACTGTTACCATGTACTAGTGCCATTTTTTTCTGCTTAATCCATTCCAACCCTTTTCTCAATGCCCTGTCCAAATTTGTCACCTTGAATTTTCTATACTTTTTTTCTTACTTCTCATCTAAATTCACATAAATCATGATCTCCTTTAATTCCCAATGGTTTTTTAATTACAGCTAAGAGACCAGAATATACTGGTTCACGTGTGCATGTGCAGGGGTCCTTATTTCATAGATCATAGCCTCCCGAGTCAGAAAGCCCTGGCCTGGAATCACGACTTCAGTATTTATCAGCTGTGGGCCTTTGGGCATGCTGCATAATCTCACACTGCTGTGTTGTTTCTTCTGTACAATAGTGGAAATAATTCATTTCCAGGCCTGCTGTATGGCTTAAATAAGATATCCATCATGTAAATTGTCCTACTCTGATAAGTGTGCAGTTTATTTCTAAATATACCTCTTCTGGCTATTAGGTTTATATAAAATAAAGTTTTGCTTAAACAGGGATATTGGATGCACTGAAAGCATTTAGGAAAATCAAATATTTTAAGTTTAGCGGAAGCCAAACACTTGGTCTAGAGTGAGCCAGAGTTCAATTTCTAAAAACACCTCTCAATAATGTTTGTCAGGTCAGATCAGGTTACTCTCTTGCCTTACCTATTGGCTTTAGTGACATTCTCCCATCTTTATATATTCTAGTAATTTCTAAAACTATTCAAAACTCTTCATCTTCACTTCTGTAGTTGTTAAAGACTAATCTGGGTGGATGGTTCAACATTAAATGACCTAGGAGGTCTATAGAATGCAGAGTGCTCAATGTTGGTTCCCAGGAAATAGAATTGCCAACCCTACAAGAATCAGGGCACATGTAAGGTACAATTAATATCCCGTTTTGTGGTTTCTAATGGACTGTGTTTAAATATTTCTCACCTAGTGTTTGATGTCATTTAAATTTCCTTTTCTTAGAGGCCACTTAGTCTCCAAAATGGCCAAGGATGTGACCTGGATATAAAACAGATAAAGTGATTCCAAGTAGCAGATATCCAAATTTATCTGCTTTAGGGAATTCATTTTGATACTATTCATAAGGATTAGTCAATTCTAAATTTTTGATTCTCTTAAGAGTGAGAGTCTCCAAGTGGTCAAGTAATGTTATAATTGTGGTTTCACCAGCACAATGAGTTGTGCTAATTCCAGCTGTGATGATTAGGTATATTGTTCAAGGGCACATCTCCTTGCTAACAGGAGCAAAGGGCTCTCTTTTGAAAACTCAGCAGTTGCAAACAACTAAATCTCCTTTGTTAACTGTCCAGAAAGTTTAATCTTTAAATCTTTTATTTCAGACACAAAAGACAATTCCCCTTGTGGAGAGATTAGAAAACCACAAAAAGATTTTGAATGCTTTCAGAAATTGTTTTATTTCCTTGTTGGAGACAGCTAGTGAGTGGTGAAGATGAAGACATGACACAATAGTTTCATGTTCTTTTCATTCATTTTTGTGGTGTTGTCTGTTTTTTTCTAACAATACACTGACAGAAAATAATACTATTGAGGGGAAAAGTGTAAAATAAATGACAGATAAGGAGATACTATCTATACTACAAAAAGATTCAAATTATCAAGAAATAGGTAAATGAGCCAAAAGGAAATGAAAAAAGAATAAACAACGAAGAGAAGAAGAAAATCATAAAAATAGAAATAATAATGGTCAAATTTGGTATTGATCAGGGGCTTATAAATTAAAGTAACAATGAAATATCACTTTTACCCACTAGAGTGGCAATATTTAAAAGAAGAAAAATAAGAACTATAGCTGCCACAGATATTAAAAAAAAGTGTACTCTCATGAATGCCCTTTGGTTATATAAACATTAACCCATTTTTAAGCAATACTTACTATAATAAAGTTACCTTTAAATTTAGTAATACCACTCCTGAGAATCTATCTCAAGGAGATAATGGCTGTAGTCAAGGGCTTTATCCAGTGGTATGTACATCAAGCAATACTCACTGTAAGCCACACACCCATAGTGGTTAATTACCAACCCCAAATGGCAAAATGAATAGTGTACACCCATAACAGGGAATATTGTTATGTAGCTATTATAAAATATTTGTATCAGTTGACAAGGAGCAAATTCCATCAGTTGTTCAGTAACCACTGAATAAACAACATAAAACACAAATAATTGTGTGTGTATAGAGATAATTTGTGTATGTATATATGTGTATATATATATAATATATTTTTATGTGTGTGTGTATAATCACTTAAATTCCAACATAATATGCATATGTAAACATATAATATCATTTTTATTAATAAATATGGATATTAGCACAATGTGTAATTTCACCATATTTTCATATGATTAAATGAGCTAGGGGCAAAGAATGGAAAAATGGAAGAATGGACACCAGGATTTTAGAACACATTATTGGTGAGATGAGGGGAGTTAAAAGTTGGTGGAAGAGAAGAAAAGAGGGGAGTAAGAGGTAAGTAGGAAAAAAACATAGGAATAAAATAGAGTATACAGTATGATGCTGTGTAACTAACAATACATGTGCCAGTGCATATACATTTATAAGTTAGGAAAAAGGAATTAATCAATAACTACACACATGGGTATATATATTTTTACACTCAAGATAACAAAAGCAAGTTGCTTAAAATTCAAGACAGTGGCTCTCTCTCGGGAACAATGTGGCTATGGGTTGAGATAAGAGGTAGGGGATGCAATTGAAGAAGAGCACTTGAAGTCTCCAAATCTATCAACTGTGTTATAACGTTATTGATTTTACATATTATATATGAGTGCTATATACTGCATTGTATATGAGAAACACACCGTAATATTAGAATAAATTTTTACATGTTATATATAAGCAAGCAACTAAGGGATGTGTATTCTTGATTCATTTTTAAATAGGAACAGGCAAACAGAAACTTAAAACTTGTCAACACACACGTATAGACCCAAGCTACAAGTATTGCAGGTTTCTACTTACTATGCAATGCATGAACATAGCAGAGTTAGGGAAGGAGTCTAGTGAGGTCTTAAACACTAAATGGAGTTTGGGAATAAGCTGGAGTGAAAGTAATGGGCAGGGGAGATTTTGTTGTTCTTGTGCTTTGTACACATTTCTATTGTGTTATCTCCTTGGTATAACAAGCATTACTCATACATTGGCAGTTTGAAAAAAATGTCACAGGAGAGCAACAGAAAAGGAAACTTATATAATTGGGAAGGTGAGACAGATACACACTTAGTAACATTTTTTTGCTCTTCAGATTCAGCTCACTCCCTTCTTTCCAAAAGCCTTCTTTATTCTTTCCCTCTTTCCATCTTCGATTAGTATAGATTTGCCATTATCATTCACTGTATTTCATCATGAGAATTATTGTAATTATTGCAATTATAATCACCTTTTTTTCTGAACTGTTTCATTCAGGAAGGTTGAAATTCCAATGTTTTTTTATTCTTGTTATAACTGTTATCTAGCATAGTCAAGAAATTCCCATAGGAACACAATAGCTCCCTGTGGGATTTCTATTACTTCCATTATTTTGTTTCATTGAAATACCAAAGTAAACAATATAGACTTTATAAATTCCACAAAATACATAAAAATAGAAGCATATTAAATCTAAAAAAATATATAGAGAGACCTACATGTGCTACTGTGAACAATTAAACAGGAACTTAGGGTCAAGTTCAGAGACTGGGAAGTTGTATTGATGGAAAGAAAGCCACATTAGAAAATAATAAATCTGTGGGGTTTTCTAAACCTGAGGCCAAAGTACACTAAGTTATATCACCCTTTAAAGTATCCACTGCCCACATTGTGGAAAAAAATGTAATCTCTATCACAGGGACATCAAGCTTGGATTCATAAGTTGCTAAAGGAGTGTTAATTGGCAAAACCATTTGAAAAACTGGTAATATCCATGAAAGATGTACATATGCATGTTCTATAGTTTAGTATTTTATTGCTAGGAATATTCTAGAAATTTTAGAAATATTTAGAAGTGACTGTTCATTAACAGTTATGTATAAGAATAAGCATAGCAGCATAATAATAGCTCAAACTGACAACTACCTAAATTTTCCTCAGCAGTAGAAAGGAAAATAAAGCAAATGCATGTAGAGAAATACCTTAGAGATGTTGGAATGAAATATTTATAAATACAATGATATGAGTGAATATAACAAGCAAATTGTTAAGTACAAATGCATAGTCACAAAACAAGAATTCTTTATGTTTGTAAGATTCAAAAATAGTTACTACTCTTGGGGAGATTGTGACTGGGAGGTGCTGGGGCAGAATTGCTGGTGCATTGAGATTATTCAGTTTCTTGATGGTCACATGAAGGGTGTTCAGTTTGTGAAAATTCATCCAGCTATACACTGTCAATTTGTGCACTTTGTATGTATACTTTACTTTGTTAAACTTTTTAATATAAAATGATTTTAAATATAGAAGAAAATGATTTTGAAAATATGTTTGTGTGTGTTTGGAATTGGTATAACAAAACACTGACTAAAAACATAAATATGCTAATGTATTTGCTATTTTCTGCATCAGTGTAATTAAGTCTATTTTTATCCACAAAAACATCCCTAAATCTGACCAGTAAACCAACCAAATACACTTAGAAGGTGTAAAGTAAGGCAACTGAACTGAATATAAAAGATAAAGTATATTTGCATTAGAAAGGAAAATGAAAACTACTTCTGCTGAACATCACAGTAAGTTATCTATGCAGAGAATATAAGGATAGGTATGACAATATGCATAGGCGGTACCAAATATACTTCTCAGATACATAAATACAATTACTAAAATACTATTGTTCATATTAAAATGACAATTTCTTCTAACATCCATGCTTACCACATGCCATCTATTTTTCAACATTTTATATTACTCAATTTAGGGTATTGTTATTACACTGTTTTAACTGATAAGGAAACTGAAGCAAAGGTAGGTTAGCTCATTTGTTAATGATCACAGGCCTAGACTACATGGAAGCTCAGAGTTTATTTCAAGAAGATAAAAAGTCTGTATTATTTCTTAACAGGGAAAATATTTTCTTTTAAATATTAGAAGATGCTATTTAGCTTTTCTCCATGGATACACAGAAATGCACAAAACCTGTTTTATTTCAACATTCTTTAAGGCAATTTTTAAAATATTTCAGAGTATATTTGTGATTCATACTCCAAAAAAATCTAAAAACTGAGGAATTAAACAGGTGTTTTGGTTGGAAGTGACATTATGAATTCCTATTATAAACTCTCCAGTCTAGGGTTTCCTTCCATGACCTTCCTGATATGATCTACCTTCTACTGCAAAGGAGTTTCAGTGCAAAGAATTACACTAGACTCTCCTGTCCCTGGGTTCAGTGCCATATTTCTACTGCAATAATTTCTGGAAATTAATAAACACTTTATATTTTTTAAGTCTACAGAAAAAAAAGACATGCTTTAAAAATATTTACCATGAAGATTTTAATTTATTTGTTCTAGTTCTACATATGCCTTTGCCCTATGTGTGCTTTCAAATGTGATGCCCTGTACCTTACTGGCAGGCCCCACCTGGAACCTGCACATTGGATAGATTTTCTCAGAGGGCTTCAAAGTGTCCTGAGCCATTGGGTCTGCATAGAGATGCTTCAAAGTATTATTAAAAATGTTTGAACTGGGCCTGTAATCCCAGCAGCTTGGGAGGCTGAGGCAGGAGGATCGTGAGTTCAAAGCCAGCCTCAGCAATAGTGAGGCACTAAGCAATTTAGTGAGACCCTTTCTCTAAATTAAAAAAAGTATATATATATATATATATATATATATATATATATATGAAAAAATATATATGAATATATATATGAAATAGGGCTGGGGATGTGGCTAAGTGGTTTAGTATCCCTGAATTCAATCCCCCGTACTCCCCCAAAAATGTTTGATCCAGGCAAGGTGCAGTCTACCTGTAATCCCAGGAACTTGGGAGGCTGAGGTAGGGAGGAATGAAAGTTTAGCGACCAGTTTCCAAAGTGTAGCAAGAACCCGTCTCAAAATAAATAGAAGAATTGGAAATGTCATCTGAGTGGTAAAGCAATCTTGGGTTTCATTCCAGTAAAAGGAAAAAAAAAAAAGTTGATCCAGCTTGGGTTATAGTACAGGTAGCATATGCTTGCTTATATGTGTGAGAACCTGGATTTGATCTCCCAGTACCACTAAAAAAAAAAATAAATAAGTTAGGAACCCCATGATATTCTGCTGTATCCCAACTTACCAGGAAATGTGGAGTAAGCTGGTTAATGAGTTTACTCATGTGTAATATCAGGCGTACTCATAAAAGTAAAGCTTTGAAATGTTCAAGTATTGCACTTGCTTTACTCAGAGGGCAAATCAGATAAAATATCATTGTATCTGTCAATTTGAGGAAGCTATGTAAGTTGGGAAGGTTTGCTAGACTGGAAGGTTGCTGTACACTTGCATGAGTACCCTTTGCTTTGTGGAATGAATAAATGTGTCTAAGATGCACCAAAAACTTGAGTGAATAAAAAAATAAATGTGGTACTGGCGAATCATGAAAGCACAGAAAACAGGTCAAAGCCACTGTCACACTGCCAATAGTCCATATCGCAGGCTGTCCAATCATTTGTTTGTTTACCCTCTATCCTTGCTCCTCTCTCCTTTCCTCCTTGAACTTTGAATTTGGTGCCTTGCTTCCTGATATCTGCCTCAAGCCTCATCTGGAAAAGGAGCCAGACCTTTTAGAACAATAAAGGATAATTAATTCCTACGTGCCAGATCTTCAGGTCCTTAAACTACGCATTATGGTTTTCAGACCCTCCACCGCAAAGATCGCCCTTTTCTGAATATGCTGTACTTTTCCAGTGACCTTCAAGTTCAGACTAGCTAAGAACAGTTGTCTCATCACGACCTGGCTGGTGTGGTGGTGTGGACTGCTCTTCCCCTCCTCACCTTACAGGACTGATCTGAGGACTCCTGTGGCAATGGTGTCTTACTCTAAGTGCGCTGTCCATTTGGCCCTGCCCCCACCCCACTTTTGGTTGACTGATTTATTTCATCCTGTTTCCTGCTTTTAAGCCTCTTCTATCTCAGCCCTTCTTCGCTGTTGAAGATTTCTTAAAAAAAAAAAAAAAAACAACACAGTGGAGTACTTTGAACTCTTTGAAATCCTTGCTTGAGTTACACTAGATGATAAATACTGAGTTCTCTGATTGTCACTGAATGTTTTGGATATTCCTCACACCTACGCAGCATCTGTGAATTTAAGAAGCTTGCCTTCTGTGTTTTCTTATGTCTGAGTCAAGCAAAGAACATTCATTCACAGACAGTGACTGTTCAGCCCACTCTCTGGGAATGTCACTTTCCTCTATTCATTTATCCTCTCATTCACTTTTTCAGTGCATGTACAGTTCTTGAAAGCCAACTGTACATCAGAAACTATGTTCTAAGCTAGGAATA